AAAGTGGCAACTGCGTCAGAAGCCTTGGTAAGACACATTCACTCCAGAGGGTATGAGATAATCGCTATAAAGATTCCTTGCCAAATCAGTAAACCAGTTAGGGGCATAGTAATTAGGAGCATGCCAGGAAAACACTTCCAAAATAAAGGCCAAATTATTGCATCTGGACCCTCCCATCACTAAAAGGAAACATAACACCTGATATTCCACACTGCTATGACCCATTTACCAAATGAAAAAGAAAGCTGACAGCTTTGAATAGGACCCAGAATAGGAAAGGGATCAGCAGCTGGTCCACAATGCAATGTGGATCTTCACCCCATGGGCTATATTTTTTGGCAGACCCTACAGAATTAGAGTTATCTGTAGTGAGAACTGGTACCATGTGTTGTTCATGACAAACCCAAAGGAAAAAAAGATACAGTTTATAATACTTGTGTTCTGAAGTAAGGCCATGCCATCGGCATCAGAGGATTGTATGTCATTCAAAAAAACAACCCCTGCATTCTATGTGGCTGAGGTAGAGTTAGAGCTCATGACCATGAGACATGCAAAGATAATGAGGCCAGAGATGCCCATCATGGCTAGGTTCAAAAAGGCCCATTAAGTCCTAAGTCCACTAAAAATCCATCAAAATATGGAAGCAGGATAGCCAGGCTAGAGAAGCATAAGTCAGGGCTAGAGAAGAGAAGTGAGTTAGATAAACTGGTGGCCTAGCCTCCATGTCAACCATCACTGTTGCATTAGTACCTCTCCCTCAGCTCCCATCTGGCCATGTAGTGGTTGTGGTGGCATGCAGGTGGGGGGACTGTCACTTTAACCAGCCAACAGGGGAAGGAAAAGGCCAATCATGGTTACCCAACGGTTTTAGTTCAATATGTGATGAACGCTGAAAACAGACTGTGGCTGCATTACACCCTCAATCAGCGGTGGCCTTGAAAGGTAGTAGAGAGAAGAAATCCTCCCAATGGGCAGAGCTTTGAGTGGTGCACATGGTCACCCACTTGATTTGAAAAGTTAAATGGACCAGTATGCATAAATACAGACTCATGTGCAATGACAAATGGTCCAGCTCATTGGTCAGAGGCCTGGAAAGAGAAAGCTGGAAAGGTTAGAGATAATAAAGTTTTGGGAAGAGGAATGTAGATAGATCTTTAAAAGTGGGCACAAACTGTACAGATCTCTGTATTTTATTTTAATGTCCACCAGAAAGCACCCATCATGGAAGAGGCACTAAGCAACTAAGTAGACAGAATGCCTAAGCCAGTTGCTGATGGCAGATGGTGTCATCTGCCACTCCAGTACTGGCACTATGTGTGCATGAATGGAGTAGCTATGGAGGTAAGAATGGAGGGTTTGCATGGACCCAACAGTATGAGTTTCCACTCACTAAGTTAGATATGAATGATCCCACTGCTGAATGTCCAATCTGCCAAGAATACGTGAGCCCTCAATGTGGAACCATCCCTCGAGTAGTCAAACCAGCTATTTGGTGGCAGATTGGTTACATTTTACCCCTTCCATTGTGGAGAGGGTAGTGATTTATCTTGACTGCACTCAGCACACACTCCAGATATGGCTTGCATTTCTTGCATGCAGAGCTTTGGCCAGCGCAAACTTCCAAAGACTTGTGGAGTATTTGATCCACAAACCCAAGATGCTTCATTTAATGGACTAAATTGTGCCCCTTCCCCCCCCAAAAAAAATTTATATGTTGAAGAGCTAAACCCTAGCACCTCAGAATGTGACCTTATTTGAAATTATGGTCATTGAAAAAAAAATTATGGTCATTGAAGATGTAATTAGTTAAAATAAGGTCATACTGGAGTCAGGTGGCCCCCAATCCAATATTACTGGTGTCCTTATAAAAAAGGGAAATTTGAACACAGACATGAACACAAGGAGACTTCCAGGTGAAGGTAAAAGCAGGAATCAAGGTGATGCTTCTACAAGCCACAGAACTCTAAAGATTGCCAACAAACCACCAGAAGATAAGTGATAGACATGAAACTGATTCTTTCTTATAGCCCTAGCAAACTAGCATAGCACATAATGTCTCATTTGACCAAGGGACAAAATCTGTAGCAAAAGAGTTACAGACGTGGCAATATGACCATGGAATTTCCAGGTTTTACCAAATACTGCATTTCCCAGAAGCTTCCAACCTAATAGATTAAAGGCAGCTCCATGATCTTTAAGATGCAGCTGTGGTGCAATTGAGAGATGCTATCTTGTAAAGATGAATCACCAGAAAAGAATTCTGGAAGACCTTTCCTCAGATGTAGTTAACTTTTTATACAAAGCAAGTATATTTGAGTTTTGCAAGATGTGGATTGCAGTGGAGGCTGTGGTGTACCACTCAGATCACTTCCTGGAAGACTAAGGTGCTCATTGTCCAAGCTTTTGGAAACGTTGCCTATTGGAAGCTTGTAGCTGAGACCCTGCCACAGATCTGATCCAGCCAAAGGTAGCTGTCTCACCTCGGGTTATCCCACAGGATGGTGTCTAAGTCTTATCTCATGAATATTATACCTTCTCTTATCTTGCTGAAGTATACGTAATAGTTTTACTTTTTAAATATTGATTTGTTTTCTTATCCTATAATCATCTCTGTTACTTCAGAGTCTTTTAAAAATTTTTTTCTTCTTTGTCTTTACGTTAGGGTACTTTATCAAATATTTGATAATCCCTTGGCAGTCTATCCAGTCAGATTTAAAGTACAAATATGAGACCTTAAAAAGCCACCTGGATGCTCTGTTGGAGGGGATTAGCATCCGATGGGCTTACTCTGAATTGACTATTTCATTGGAGAAGCCCCCACACCCCATTTCAGTATGTGTATTTTCTATCTGGAGCAGATCTGTTTTTCCAGAAAAGGAATCCTCCATTCTTCTGTGTATATGAGAGATGGGCAGGTAGTTTATAAAACTGGCTCCAAGGGCTGGTAGGGGAGTAAGAGAGTCTCATTATTCAGTATGCGAGCATCTGTGGTCTTTTTGATTGTTTGCAGCTCCCCTTCTCTTAAGGATTTCCCTGAGCCATAGACCCTATGAGAAATGTCTTCTGAGAAGCAGCCTCCATTCTTCTCCCTCGGTTGGGTAAAGCGTGGTTACTAGGCGGCCTGGGATAGGGGAAAGACACTTGGTATAGTCTTTCAGCCAACATGCCCACTTTAGCCTTCCCAGTGCTCTCTCTCAGAGCTGCTTCAGCCTACAGTTTGGAGCTTTTTCGGGCTTGTGCGACACAAATGGCATCTTGATTTTTCCACGCTAAACTTATATTCTGGCTCACCCTACTCTGCTAAGTCAGTTACCTGCCACTAATTCATCAGCGTCCTATCTTCTAACCACTCTCCTTGCCCTTCTTTATTGATGCCTTTATTTCCTTTTGCTGTCATTCAGTGTGGCTAAAGCCCCAGAAGGGATTATGACTTGCTGAGGTCATACAACCTTACCAGGCTATAAATAATATTTTCATGTAGATCCCCAGGCCAATGTTCTATGTGGGGAAAAAAAAAAAACAAAAAACAAACAAACAAAAAAAACCAGAAAGATATGAAAACAGGAGGAATTCAGGAATTCAGTTGTGTGGTTTGGGGAGGGGGTATGTATGCAGAGAGCACAGGTAGGGGGATCCTGAAATAAAATGAAGAGATATGGCTAGAAAAAAAAGGGAGAAATTTTTATCCTTAGGTCTTTTGGCCCCTTATATTTGTCTTCAAATTCTTTCAAGATATTTATATATAGTTTATGGGAGCCCCTTCTGTGTTTCCCACTATTCTATTGCAAGACAGACTTCCTGCTATCTCTGTTCTGTACTCCATTCTTCCCAGAAGTAGATGGTATTTTTAAAATGTGGTTCTACTCAAATTGCCCATATCCTCAAATGCTTAAAATGAATCCCTATTGCCTATGAGATAAAGTCCAAATCCCCTCATATTTCAATAATTTTGAACTAGGTGGGGAGAGGATGACAAGGAAAAGTAGAAGGAAGAGATGGGAGCAACTTGACAAAAGAAAAAGTGCTGGTGATTGGGAGAGGCTGAAGATGACTCAGAGGTGATAAGCTTAGGTGACTAGGGGGATTTAAAACAGGAAAGTCAGAGGAGTTGTTGAACTTCGCTTTAAACATGACGGCCATAGAGAAATGCCTAGCAGACAGATGAAAATAGGGGGTGAAGCGTGCATCAGAGGATCTCAGGACTGGCAAGTGCTTCTGTGCTTCGCAATCCAATGCTGAAAGAAGGGAGAATATGATAGCTCCAAGGATCATCAAATCAAAGGAAATCTCTTTGAGATGGAGATATTTGAGTGGGTTTAAGTAGGAGAGAAGGAAAACAAGAGGGGATGGGGTTGATTTTTATTTCTAGTGTATACAGTGCTCTTTTTTCTTTCAAACCTGAAGCATATCTAAAACATAATTCCCTGATTCATACTGTAATACTGATAACTATATTCATTTCTTATTGCTTCTCTAATAAATCACTACAAACTTAGTGCATTAAAACAAGACCAATTTATAATCTTGCAGTTCTGAAGGTCAGAGGTCCAAAATCAGTGTCACTGGGCTAAAGCTATGTGCAGGCAGAGTTGGTTCCTTCTGGAAACTCCAGGGTAGAATCCATTCCATTTCTTTTTCCTTTTGGGTTTCTAAAGGCTGCCTGCACTCTTTTGCTTATGACTCTTCCTCCAACTTCAAAGCACATCACTCCAACCTCTGGTTCCGTTGTCCAATCTCCTTTGTCTGACTTTGACCTTGTTGCCTCCCTCTTTTAAAATCCTAGTTCTTACCCACCAGGACAATACGAGATAATCTACCCATCTCAAGGTCCTTAATTACATCTGCAAAGTCCATTCTGCCATGTAAAGTAACATGTTTTATAGGTTCTGGGGACCTATGTCTTAACGTGCATACATTAGGAGGGACCATTACTCAGCCTACCACACTGTTTGAGCTATGTATGTTGATATCACTGAATGACTTAGTGAATAAATGAAGACTTTTTAGAAATCCAATAATATTTATTACTAAATCCATCATGTACTTGGTCATGTTTTACATGATTTTCAGAGAATATCTAGGAAACCAGTGTTTATCTACAAACTTGATCCTGCTTAGTCTCACAGTGAATTCTCAGTCATATTGAAATGGCAGCCAGTTCATTGGTTTCCATAGAATTAAAACCAGAGAAGTGGCAAGCCTATTTCCATCATTCTGATGTAAAGCATTTGACTACAATAAAGACAAACAGCAGAATAATGACAAAGATGACCGATGGATCTGAGCCATCACTGGGCCCTGATTTCTCATACTGACTCCCCTTAGCCTCCTTTGCCCCAGCTAACGGGTTCTTGGCTTGGTTTGGGATGTACACACCAACTCCAGGTGAGGAACTCCGAATATTTAGGTGGCAGAGTGGGGATTTGGATGGCTTTGTCATGTAGCTTTTTAAGCCCTGACCACAGACGCCCAGAGTACATGCCTCACAATTGGCTGTGTCATGGGACCCATCCAGGGGCACTTCCGGGATTACTGGCATTTCTGAAGACTTCCTCACGCCATTTCTGTAGTATTTCTCCAATATATGCTGCACCAGGTTGCTCAGAATCCTCGTGGTGCTATCCGAGGAGAACTCCGGAATCTCATATTGGGACCAGGTGCACTTCTGGCACCTTTGGCCAAAGACCCTCACATGCACCTGGCCCTGTGATGTCCAGTGGTTCCAACATGTGTGGCACAGAATCTTCACTTGGGCAGAAGCCCAACTCCGCTGGCAGGAGGAACACCGGAACCTGCAGTCAGAAGGAAGATGCTCATTATGCCTTCAGCTGATTGTTAACCTGAGGGAAAATGGTCCTGGCCCGTCTCTAAGATCCTTTCCAATTGGAAAATAATCATGTGATTTAGATTGTTCCAGTCATTGACAAACAGAAACAACAAGGATCATGTTTCAGATAAAGCTTTTCCTGTGACCTACTGAGTATCCACCCATATGTTATGCCCAATTCTACCTCTTTGCTAGTAAAACATCTCTAGATGCCTCCGAGGGAAAATCATGTCTGTCATCTTCCAGAGAAACTTATTCCTAGTTTTGGTCACAGAAAGCTTTGGCAAAGTATCTATTTTGAGGCATTAACTATAATTGGTGCTTTACAATGTTATCCCATCTCATCTTTAAAGCATTCCTGTGAAGCAAGCCCTATTAAACTCAATATCAAGATAAGGAAACTGAGTCATGAATAGGATATACAACCTGTTAGAGGCATGTGGCTAATCCCAGGCCATCTGAAATTAATCTTGTTTACCTGCTGTAACACATTGCCTCTGATGAGCAGCATAGCTAATCCCTCACACCTGGAGAAACAGACTGGCACCTGCATCCCTCACACCTGGGTTGAAGATCCAAGTCCACAGTTTACATCAGGAAGACCTTAGATAAAGCCCTTCCCTTCTATAAGCCTCATTGTTTGAATCCATTAAAAAAAAATTCAAGGGTTATATTGTCAGCATCAGATGAGATCATATATGTAAAAATACTTCATAAACTACAAAATGCTTTTCAAAAGCTGATTGCTATTTTCCAAAGTACACTGGCAGACTGCTTTTCCAATATCAAAATGACTATCAAATCAATTCAACCCAACAGGAGAAACACCTTCTTTCTGTCTGGAGGAGTGCCAAAACATTGTAAGACATCATGAGTCCCTCAAAAAGCTCTGGCTGGTGTGGAAAGAAACATTTACACAGTTTACTGGACTAGAAAGCAGAGCAAAATGACTGCTCTGTGGGCTCTGACAAGTCACTTGAGAACTGTTCTGGAGAGGTTTAGGGGACTTTATTTAAACAACAGATTCTGCAGCTGAAAATAAGCATATGTATATGTTATATATTGTATCTGATACAATATATGTAGTGTCATATCAATATATATGTATAATACTATATATATTGTATATATATTGTATCAGATACAATATATAACATATACATATGCTTATTTTCAGCTGCAGAATTTATACTGTATCTGATACAATATATAACATATTGTATATACATATATATACACACATTGTATTAGACGCAATATATAACATATACATATTTATAAATTCATTATTCTGAAATGCATAGTACATATGTATATATAATCATATCATTTATGTATACATACACATAGATATTTTATCTTATTCCATTATCTTACAGGAAAGTATAAGAAGGAATACTTACTCTGCCTAGAGAACCAGAGAATATTTTTAGGAGGAGGAGGCACTAGAGTGGGCCTTGAAGGATGAGTAGGGAGGGGTGAGGGAAGGCCTGCTGAGCAAGCAGAACTCCATGAGCAAGGGCGTGGAAGTCTGAAAGTACATGGTATGGATAATAGTCCATAAGGGGTGGAGAAGGCCATACCTGAGACAGGATGGGGCAGGCAGGCAAACTGAGTAATAGGTCAGGAGAAAGCTAGGCTGGAGGTCCTGTGTGTCACTTAAAAAGAAATATTTGGTTGTCCAGGTCAGCAACTCTCACCCTCATAATGAAGAAGGGAATTAAATAATAGCAATAATAGGAGAAACAAAATCTTATAATTTATAGTTGCTATATAATAAATTTTACTGTGTTGTGTGCTGTTTATTTTATTTTATTTTACTTTATTTTATTCTATTTTATTTTATTTGAGATGGAGTCTTGCTATGTCACCCAGGCTGGAGTGCAGTGGCAGGATCTCAGCTCACTGCAACCTCCACCTTCTGGGTTTAAGAGATTTTCCTGCCTCAGCCTCCTCCTCCTCAGGAATCATGGATGTGTGCTACCACACCCAGCTAATTTTTTGTATTTTTTAATAAAGGTGGGGTTTTGCCATATTGGCCAGACTGGTCTCGAACTCCTGACCTTGTGATCTACATGCCTCAGCCTCCCAAAGTGCTGGGATTACAGGCATAAGCCACCAAACCCAGCCATGTGTTGTTTAATATAAAACCTAACCCCCAGCTCTGCTTAAAATTAACTAACTCCCTGTAAAACCTACCTTATCTATTCTCCCCACATACTCAGCAAAGTTCCCAGGCATCTCAAGACTCCTGTTTTCCTTGCTGACCAGCTGGAAGGTCACAGGGCAAGATAACACCCAAAGAATGTACAATGTCTTTCTCAAAATGCTATTTTTCAAATGTAATGTACATCACAAGACATGTTACGATAATGAACCATTCTTTGTTCTGGCTTCTGTAAGCCCGTTAGCAGTTACGTCATCCCGGAAGCATAAAAAGTACCCCACTTTCTTTCTCCTAGGCTCAGCCTGGGGATGCTAATCCGCTGAGCCGCTGGATACCTTAATAAAATCCTCCGGTTTCACCCATTGGCTACTCCGGTCTCCTGAATATTCTGCAACACTAACATTGGCAAGGAAAGTGGTTCCTGCAACCTGGAGGCTTGCTGGGGGTTAAAGGGGGAAGTGGTGAGTAAGGAAGGAGTATTACTTGGTTACTCCATGAACCGGGTTTTAGGTTTAGTGTTTGCAACATCATTCTCTTCTATTATCCCCAGGCCTTCAGTAAAGCAATGTTCAGAGTAACTGCTTGATCTTAGCCAATTCTAAGGATTTTTTTTTTTTTAAATGACTCACTCTCAGGCTTGTATTGAACAGGGCCAAGGCTTGGAGAACTGCTGCAGCTGGGGGAAGCCAGTCAGGACTGATGGGGAGACTGCAAATGACTCTAGAGGTAGTCTGGAACAAATGAGGTGGCAAGAAAATAGAAGGGCAGATTTATGGAACTTGGGGCCTTCTTCAGGGTTTTCCAGAAATATTTAGGGAGGGAAACCTAGTAAAAGAAGAAACTTCCTGCAATTAAACAAAATGGAGGTTTGGAGTCGTCTTATCATTCAGACCCTAAAGAGCACTATGACCACCATAGGATGGAGATCCTGCTGATATTTACTCCCTTAACAAGCTCTCAGAGGAATGCATCATGCTAAGCTGAGCCTGAGCCTCTCTTCTCGGAACGGCTATTGCCTGGGAAACCCACACTCACCAGCCAAATGCTCTCTGTTGGTATTGCTTCCACCCTTGTGCTGGGCAGTCTAGCTGAAGGTTCCCATCCAGCTTCAGCGTCCATGTGGCCCAGGGTTTTGCCTCTTGGATTAGTTCTTGAAATGTCTGCTCCCAAGTCCAGATATCTATAGTCATTTTTTCCCTCTGAAGCTCAGAGAGTAGCTTTCAGGTTTGCTCGATTGCCAGGAAGAGAAAAACAGTTTCAGTTTCGGTATTCAGTTCAGTTTCGGTATTCAGTTCAGTTTCGGTATTCAGGTCAGTTTCTGTTTCTATGTATGAACATGAGCTGTTTTTTTAACCTTCATTCTAGACTGTTTGGGTACACAGAACAAGTCTTTGTTCCAAAGACAGAGAGAAGCAGAACATTGTTAGTTAACAGCCCTTGCTGAAAGAGAGATGTCTGAGTACAGAGCTCTGTTCTAGATTCTGGGGTCACATTTAAATTTGCTTTTATTTCTCTCTTTTTTTCATAATAGGCAAAGCACTATTTTTGGTACTGGGATAAAAGAATGTCCTGTAACTAAGAAACAGCTCCTACCCGCCCCCCGCAGGTGCTCACACCCTGGTGGAGATAGGGAGGTCAGGAGCAGGATAGGGGAGCACGTGTTTAATGCTCATCTCACGCACCTGATGAATCCTCGCCAGTCCCCTGAGGGAGGCTTATTCCTGGCATTTTGTGAGTTAGCTGCACAGAGAGCTGGGGGACCTTGTACAAAGCCCCTCAGTTAATGAGCAGTAGAAGGGAGACTTGAACCCAGGTCTGTGTGACTCCAAAACCTGCCATGTCTCCACCCACCTCATTCCCTCAAGAGAAGCTGAGAATGGCATTTCAGGTTCCAGGCTGGAACACTGGAGCCAATGTCAGGGGAACCCTAGGGAGATTTCCTAGATCCTGGGGTAGGAGTCCGGGTGCATGAAGGGATTATATAATTTTGCCCTTCACTCTGTTAATTATCTGAAAGGGCAATATACAAGCAGGTGTGGGGCCGCCTTTCAGTGGTAGGATACAGAGAATTCCCATTTTGGAGTGAGGAATTGAGACTAGATGACCTTTAAAGACATTTGTAAGTCTGTAATGCTGAGATTCCAGAGAGTAAGCTTTGTCCTCCTGGGGCTTAAATTCCAACAGGGGAGATAGGACAAGCAGTACGCCTAGGTCTTTAGGAGCCCTGCTACAGCCTCTGTGTCTGAGACAGGATCAGCCTAAGGCTTCCTGGGCTTTCTAGGTTTTCACGTGCCCTGTAAGGACTTAGAAACACCCTCTCTCTTTGCCTTCCCTTCCTGGATACCTATGTCTGTACACATGATAAAAGAAACTCTAGGAACTCGGAATCAGATCCACAGGATATCAGAGTTGTGAAAACACTTAGAAATCAACTTATTCCTTTTCCCTTTAATTTTTATATATGAGAAAACTGAGGCCAGGTGCGGTGGCTCATGCCTGTAATCTCAGCACTTTGGGAGGCCAAGGCAGGTGGATCACTTGAGGTCAGGAGCTTGAGACCAGCCTGACCAACATGATGAAACCCCATCTCTACTAAAAAAAATTTAAAAATTAGCTGGGCATGGTGGCACACACCTGTAATCCCAGTTAGTTGGGAGGCCAAGGCAGAAGAGTCGCTTAAACCTGGAAGCTGAGATTGCACTATTGCACTTTGGTCTGGGCATGAAGAGCAACACTCTATCAAAAGAAAGAAGAACGAAAGAATGGGAGGAAGGAAGGGAGGGAGGGAGGGAGACAGAGAAAGAGAGAAAAGAAAGAAAAAAAAGGAAAGAAAGAAAGAAAGAAAGAAGGAAAGAAAGAAAGAGGGAAGGAGGGAAGGAAGGGAGGAAGTGAGGGAGGGAGGGACGAAAGGAGGAAGGAAGACGGGGAAAGAAATGAAAAGAAAACTGGGACCCAGAGGAATAAGGTCTCCTGCCTAAGGTCACATGGCAAATTAGTGCCTGGGTCCAAGCTTCGCTCTCTTGCCCCACCTATGCATAAATCATTTCTGTACTCCTTCTCTTCACTTTCTGCTGGGTTTAGGATCCCAAGTCCACTCTATTTATCCTGTATCTTCAGAGTGTACCTTCAGAGAGTCACCTGACCCGTGACACCTCAAATGCTCTGTTTTTCCCAAAATGTAGCTTGATGAGTCCATTGTACTCCTGCATGATTTCCTTCTGCCTCTGCTTCATGTGTGCCCTTTGACACACCCAGCCTTTCAGGTCAGCCTGGTCCATGGCATGGGGTTCAGGAGAAAGGTTAAGGGTAATGTGTATTGAAGAAACACACTCAAAGTGCTTTTTCTCTTCTGTCACTCAATAACAGTCAACACAAAAACTTCTAATATGTGAGGGATTTCCTCACCAATAAGCAAGCAATCACTTAATTCTGCAGAGGACATCAACTAGATGACCTCTTATTCAATTCAGTGCTAATACTATCTACCTCAAGCTAGCATCAGATCCAAAGGTGGCAGGCCAGTCCCCAAGACTGTTCCCCTACAACTTCAGACTGGGACTTGGGGCCAGTTGAAAGCCCCACGTTGTTTTACCTGTGCTTCTGACCAACTGGTTATAAATTAGGGTTCCCTCCTCAAGTTCAATTAATGTGCTAGAGTGGCTCATGGAACTCAGAAAAACACTTACTTATGTGTGCCAGTTTATTGTAAAGGTATTAGATGGGATACATATGAAGAGATGCATAGGGAAAAGCATGGGAAGGGGCACAGAGCTTCCATGCCCACCCTGAGCACACCATCCTCTGGGACCCTCCTTGTGTTCAGCTATCCTGAAGCTCTCTGAACCCTGTCCGTTTGGAGCTTTTATAGAGACTTCATTACATAGGCATGATTGATTAGACTATGACCATTGGTGATCAACTTAGCCTTTAACCTTAGAGATTACAGGATGGGACTGAAAGTCCCAATGCTCTAATTCTGCCTGGAGTTTTCTGGTGACCAGCTCTCATTCTAAAGCTACCTAGGGGCAGCCAGCCACCTGTCATTTCATTAGCATACAAAAAGATCTCTTCAGAGATTCTAGGGATTTTAAGAGTTGTATGCCAGGAAATGGAGTCAGTGACCAAATACATATTTTACAGTTTCATGTGTGCTTTGAGATGTGAGGGTTGGATAAAGTCCACTACCTTCCTCATCACCAAGAAGGAATGGAAAAAAGAGAAGGAAAAGAAGAAATTAAAGGCCCTTCTGCAATCTTACAATGCACTTAAGCCACTTGGTGGTTTGTTTGTTTGACGTTTTCACCAAGGCATTGTAACTCCAGAATAATAGAATTGTGGGACTTGGTCACTGAAGGAGACCTTACATATCTTACGACAGCCCCTTCAATTTCGCTGAGACCCAATGAAGAAAATGACTTACCCAAGGAACACATGACTTATCTGTACCCAGCCTCAGATAGTTGTAACCTTCAAGTTTTCAACTGTTGAAGCCTTATCCCAGATTGGTTAAAGAACTGCTGAGAGACAGCTAGAAAAAAAAAAATCCCCAAAGGAAAAAAAAAAAAGCACAGATGAATTCTGAAGAAGTGAAGAAGGAGGGCATAGAAAAATTTAGATTCTTAACAGTTCAAAGCCAGAATGAATCTACAAGATATTCTAATCATGGGTTGGCAAGCAATGTCTCTCCCCTTTTCTTTTCTAAGACAGACATTGCCAATCGATCTTCTCACCTTTCCCTCAGGATCCGGGTATAACTTAAGAATTTCCCTCATCACAGTGTTCTAGGCAGCCACTAGAAACTGACTGCTGTATGAAACATTTTTTCCATTTCTGCAATAGTCTGACACTCTTAATTTACAAATTACAGAAATTAAAGTCAAGATAGATTTGGGTTAATCAAGGCTTACGTTCAGTTTTTGTAATCTTAGACATGCACCCATTTTGGAATATCACATGACCCATCACAAATAGGGCTGGCACAAAACTTAACACATAGAAATATGTTCTTCTTGGGGACATTTTAGGCTTGAGAAGAAAGGAGACTAGACAGAGTGATAAGAATTGGTGGGTATCGGACTGAAAGAGGAGATGGACATCCTCACTATGGCAGGTCTCCCCCCAGGACACTTGTCCAACCTCTTGGTGCCCAACTGCTCTGTAAAAGGTGAACAAGAAGTGAAATGAAGTGTGACATCCAGAGCCAACTGCTGCTCAGGCCTCAGGTCTAAGCCTGCTAAGAACACCATTCAGGAGAGCAAAGATTATGTTAAAGGTAACCTCTGAGAAATAGGAAGAAATGTAAAAAAATCAAAAGAACCAAAATAAAAACTTACAAGTTTCCCAAGGGGCCATTTGTTTTGCATTATCTATGAAAATCTGCTTGGCCTCAGGCCTCTTGAGTCCCCTTGCTCAGATGTAAGATTTGCCTCAATAGACAATCATTTGGATGTTTTTTGGTAGAGAGAATGTCCATGAGCTTAAAGAAAGCTAAGCCCTCGAGAGGAGAGGTGACCAGCTCAAGGCTGCCCAGCCAGTTGAGACCACTTCAAATAGAGCCCCTGACTCCTATTCTTGACAGCCACTTCCTTTTCTTCAGCACAAACAGTCTTAAAATCAGAGGCTGGACTTCTTGTGCTCTGTTCCAAGGCTGTGGTAAACACAGGTACCCTATATGTGCAGAGGTTTCAATCACTCCCATGCCAGGCCAATGTCAGGAAAAAAGCAGGCCAAAGCTGTACTCTATAAATGAACTTTTCTCCTGTCCCTGATTCACTTTACCAATCTTTCACTCCCGCCCTCAAATTAACTACTTGCAACAAGTTCTTGTCTCAGGCTCTGCTTTTAAAATAATTCCAACCAAGACAGAGAGTAACTTACCTTCTTTTCCTTCCCATGTGTAAGAAAGTCCATTTCCAGTCTGACTTATAAGAAGCTTGTAAGACATCACCCCCATCCTCATAACAACAGAAAAGCTGAACAAACTGACAATCAACAACTCTTCTGAAGTCCTTCAGAGAATCAAAGTCACAGGGCAAACTGCTACTCTGAAAACTGGAGAGACAGATGGGCAGAAACAGGGAGTCACTGCTCATCAGAGCCAGAGCCCAGGAACACAGGTCACAGCAGGAACTAGTACTGGTAGGGTAAGAACACTTTACACTGTAATTGGCAATTGCTGGAAGCCCATGAGAACAAGCTTGACTATTTAAAAAACTGGGGGTGTGGGGAGCTCAGTTTTAGGAGAACCCTCACACCTGCATGAGTTTTACCTCCAGGAGCTGCACCAGGTTGTCGCTATGAAGATAGAGAAAAATATTCTTGTGCTTTCATCATGTGAGGAGAAAAGAAACCATATTTGTTTAATACCTAGAACTCTCTGTTCTCCCTAAGAGTCTGCCCTCAAGGGAAATTATTTCACCAGAGTAACACACTTGGGTTTAACAATGTCTAATCATCCTGAGAGAAGGGAAATGTGGGGAATAGGAACTGCCCCCACTTGTGTCATGTGTGACTTCCTTTCTGCATGGCGATGAGGACCTCGCCCTCCATGCTCGCAGGGTCAGGAAAAGGGAGGCTGGCATAAACCCAAGGAGGCAGGGCCATCTGTATGCTGTTTTCTAGGAGAGGAGCCAAGTCTCACACAGTTCAGACTAATTCTCTACTCAGCTAATAATATCTCGGAGGGAAATAAAGAATTGAATCAGCCATCCACATTTCTAAACATATTACAATAATAATTAAACCACCAAGCCATGGAAGGGATTTTAAATGTTCCCTGACTTCCATTTATAACTTGCTGGCTTTGTAATAGCTGACACCTAAATCATAAGTAAAAACTTGGGTACTATTCCCAGAGTTAGTCAATGGGAAAAGCAATGAACTTAAAATTAGAAGACAAGGTTATCAATTCCACTTCCAATACTTGCTGTGTTACCTAATCTCTGTGAACCTTAATGTCCTTAGCTGTAAAATGGAAATAATAATAATATTCATTCCATTAGATTTAATTTTATATACATATATATATATATCCTAATATGACACAGAGATGGATCGTAATTTTAAAAATTATATAAAGTTATTTCAAAAAAGAAAGACTATAAAGAGGCATAAAGTAATGGGGTTAAATGGAATACAACATTTGAACTCAGTATTTCATGAGTGAGAAGAGATAAGGGCTCACATATGGACAGGAAAGAGATAATTTAGAATAAGAACCTAGAAAGTGTCTATGTCTGTGTATTTGGCAGAAGAAAAGCAAAAGATGCAATGAATAACTAAGATTTAGAGCACTTTATCTCTTAGAATATACCTCTATACCAATATATATACGGTTCCTGCAATAGCCCAATGGTTAATGTCCTTTGTCAAGAAACGTTTCAGAATGAATGCATCTAATGGAGCTCTGCAAAATATAGATATCCAGGTCCACCTCTGGAAATTGATTCCACAAGTATGAGGTGGGACTTGTATTATTTAAAAGCTCCAGTAATGATACTGAAATACTCCTGGATAAAAATCACTGTAAATTAAAAATATGAAGCTCAGGAAGTTTGAGTGACTTGCCCAGATCTCACTTTATGAGCGGCAGAGGCAGGATGTGAAACAAGGTGCTTTAACTGCCACTTGCGTGTTGTCTTCCATGGTGACACACCGGAAGACAGGGTCAGCCTCTGAGTCTATTCATTATGGCTGAGTTGACCTGGAACTGGAAAGCAGCTTGCTGTCTGATAAATGGAGTCCGGGATATAGCCACAGTATAATGTATGAATTTAATTAATGGCAGAGCACATTGAAATCAAGGGAGAAGAGCTACCAGAAACAGCGACAGATCATTTGGGGCTATTGCAATGCAAAGCTAAGGCGAGGCCATACTGCCTGCCAATGATAACGCCAATATGTAGTAACTTGACTTTTTACCTCTGCAGACTCAGTCTGGACATGAGAATGCAGCTCGGGCCTCAGTGAGACCCCTGTAGCCCCTCTTGATGGCAGTGAGAATTTTATACCTGTGCAAAGAGCAGCCAAGAGCCCAAGAAATGAGGAGGAAACAAACAAGCCCACCCAGGGGCGGTTTGATGAATACATTAAACAACTCCTGATTTTCGCCTCAACGCAAATGTTTTGCAAAGATGCAGACTCGTTGCCCCCAGGACAGTTCACAGGATTCACACAGGAGTAGTTTCAGAATTTGACCTAGAGTCTTCCACTGAAGTTATTGATTTCTCCTGAGTTCCTTCTGATGGGTCATTTTCACAGCCTGTTTGTGTACCTCTCTGTGGGGCACTCTTTGGTTCTCAGCCACAGGATCATGGATTGGGTTATTCATTGTTGTTGAGGCAAAGAGGTCGATTCCCTCTTTCTCTGCTGGCCCTTAAGGCAGAGATTTTTTTTTTTTCATTTTCATGTTTAAAAATCCAGATACTTTATAACACTGTTTCATGAGGAGGGGTAGGCTGGCCCTGTGAGCTTCAGTTTTTGGGTATCAGTCACATATGTCAAGAATGTAGCGAGGGATCAGTGTCAGTGCAGCCCTACTGCTTCAGAACAAAACCCACTGTGCACTGGACAGGCTCTGAAGACGGCGAGGCTGGGAGATCACAGATGATGAATGTTGCTCAGGGCAGCAGCCGCTGTGCACGCTTTTCTCTCCTTGTGCTTCCCTTGCAGCCCCAGGATTTATAATGCTCTGTCTTATCCAATTTTGGTCACAGCCTGATGGATGTCATAAGGCTGTAAATACTCTGAGGTTTTACTTTTCTGTGTGTGTTTTCTCCTACTTTGTATTTGCTGTAATCCATGTCATCCAATAATGGATTAATTTTTGGATCCACTTTTTTGTTCTTGCTAAGCTCCTGAGATTTAGAAGATGAATATTCATAGTATAAATATGTGAAACCGAGCTGAAAAATTATTCTGGCACAGATATATAGGGAGAACAAAATGCAGCATTGTCCCAGGGAATCTGATAAATGTAAAGAGAACCAAATTAGAGATAAGAGGACCTGGATTTGATTCCAGGCTGTGCCGCTAATCACCTCCCTTTCTGCATGATAAAGCACTGGACTAGGTAGCCTCCAAGTTTGGTTCCAGTTCTGTCATTGTATGGATGGATTAGGGCTCTGGTTCTCCATTAGGAAAAGCAAAGTCTTCCTATATCTCAAGTTGGTGCTGTTGACAGCACCACGCTGTCCCAAGTGTGTAGTGGAGTGATGAACTTGAGCACAGTCCTGTTGAAGGTCAAAGGCCTGCCTCCTGGTAGAGCTTACTTTCCCTCAGAGAAAGCAGAGACTTCAGGTGAAGCTGGAAGAGGGAAGGATGGTAGGGTAGATGGGACCTCTCACCTTGAGGAAGGGAAGGTGCACTAGGAGAAAGATGTTCCATGTGCAAGAGGAAGAAATTTCATCTCCAATGGCTCCAAGGGGCTGAACTACATGCAGGAGACAGGAGCCTCAAGGAGAGCCACTATTTCAGTGCAAATGCACACAACCGTCATTCCAAACTGTGGGAAACTGTGGGTTACCCCAC